GATACAAATGGAATACTGTACTGTGGTAAAAATGAATGAAATAGAGCTACACATTACCAACATGGATAAACTTCTTTAGCAAAACAAAAAAATAACCCAAGGATATACAATAGTTCCCTATTAGGTTTCAGTTACCTGTGGTCAAATTCAGTCTGAAAATATTAAGATATTTGGAGAGAGAGACCACATTCACATAATTTTCATTACAGTATGTTGCTGTAATTGTTCTATTTTATTATTGTTATTAATCCTTTACTGCACCTAAGTTATAAACTATACTTGATCACAAGTATGTATGTATAGGAAAAAGCAGGATGGGGAACCTGAGGCCTTGGGCCCCATGTGGCCTTCTGGATCCTTGAGTGTAGCCTTTTGACTAAATCCAAATTTTACAGAACAAATCCTTCTAACAAAGGGATTTGTTCTGTGAAGTCTGGATTCACTTGAGGGGCTATATGTGGCCTTGAGGGCACAGGTTCCCAGGGTTTGGTACTATCCAGTTTCAGGCATCCCCTGGAGATCTTGGAACACATCCCAGGGGTTAGAGACAATAGGTCTAAATCCAAGTATTCGGGTTACCAGCAACCAGCTCTGATTTGCGGGGCTGCTCTGATATCAAGACTTACCTTGTGGCTAAACCTAGTTTGACTACTGGAGTATGAACTCCCAGCTCCCTCCTGCTGTCTGCCTGTCCTGGCTTGTTCTTCTGACTCACTAATTATGCCCAACATACACATTTTTAATAAGTCAATTTAATTTTTTTATTAAACTGACCACATCCTTTGAAATGAAAGACGCTGAGGGAAATCACAAAATCAAGGGCAGAGGAAGGTGGGTGTGCTGGTGGGACAAGGATGTTGACAACAAGTTTTTATTAGTGGTACAGCAACACACACAGTACTTTACTAAGTCCTTTTCTATATTAACATAACTTATTAAAGCTGCACAGCAATCCACTGAAATAGGAAATGATTAATGCCATTTTACTAATGAGGAAACACAGTTTAAGTACCTTGCCCAAGGTCATACAGCTCGTGTCAGCGATGTGCTGTGATAATGCTGTGGAATTTGTAATTCCGTGTGTTGTGGAACTTCATGGAATAAAAAATAAAGCAATCAGAACTCTTGCAACAGCCAAATTCTTCATCCCAATCATTATATATATCATCAGGGTTTTAAAATGATTTTTTTTTTAAAGGAACCCAGGGCTATGTAACTAGCATGCCCTTCTATTGATTTAATGAATATCCAGAACCTACTTCCTGGTGGCGGAACCGAAAAGCCAGAAAGCAAGGCTTAGAGCCTGGTAGCCAGGAATCTAGAATCCCATGCCAAAAGACTGCCTCAGAAAGCTGCCGTGCACACTTGCCCATATGGTTTAGTCTTGGTCTTGAGAGCTTCCTAAGCGTGCCGCACTAAGTGCTGTCCTAGCCAGCAACACCCTGCCCCCAACCTTCCCCGTAAGCTGCCTGGTCGTTCCAGTTTCACACACCAAGAAAATGGAGGACACCGAGCTCTCCTTCCCCTGACCTAGAAAACTGCACACCACTCAATCCAATACACTACTGGCAGGCACACTGGCTCACGCCTGTAACCCCAGCACTCTGGGAGCCTGAGGTGGGAGGATCGCTTGAGCTCAGTTCAAGTCCAATATATTTTGCCTCTCGTAACACATATTCAAAACAACTTGTCAAATGCACTTCAAGGTCTTGTCAAACCGCGGGTTAAAACAAATTAACCCTTCAGAAATTATACTAATATTTACCCAAAATAAAACTGACTACTGACAAACGAGATTTATCCCAAATTCCTGGTAGGTGAGGCCTGGAGTTCTTGTTGATAGTCAACAGGCCAGGGTATAAATTCATGTCTTGCATCACAAAAAATTAAAAAGCAGCTACCAAAAGAAGCAAACATTATGTTCTAGCATCTCTAGAAAATACACATGCCTCAGTGGGGCAAACACCATTCAGCTGGCTAACAACTGCACAAGTGACAGTAGTCAGGGCAGCTAAGCTTCAGGGAACACCTGCCAAATCCCAGGCACCATACTACATGCTTTGCACTTACCTCTTAACACCGGCCTTTTTCCACTAAAGGAATCACCCAACAGCATACCCTTATACTATGATTCCATTTGCAAAAGTTCAAAAATAGCAGTTTTTACATCTATGGCATTAAAAAGTTAACAAATCTGGCCGGGAGCGGTGGCTCACGCCTGTAATCCTAGCTCTCTGGGAGGCCAAGGCGGGCGGATCGCTCAAGCTCAGGAGGTAAAAACCAGCCTGAGCAAGAGAGAGACCCCGTCTCTACTAAAATTAGAAAGAAATTATCTGGACAACTAAAAATATATAGAAAAAATTAGCTGGGCATGGTGGCGCATGCCTATAGTCCCAGCTACTCAGGAGGCTGAGGCAGGAGGATTGCCTGAGCCCAGGAGTTTGAGGTTGCAGTGAGCTATGATGACACAACTGCACTCTACCTGGGGCAACAGAGTAAGACTCTTTTTCTTTTTTTTGAGACAAAGAGGTCCTTCATGTTGATGGAGGGATGTGGAAAGAGCAAGCATTGTGTGGAGTCCTGGGTTCTGGTCCTGGCATCCCAAGTAAATGGCCTATAATTTGGGACAGTCACCTCTGTGTCTTCATTCCTTACAAAGAGGTTAGATTAGGTGCTCTCCAATTCTCCCACCATGCTATCACTTCACTTTCTTCTTCAAGTGGGAAAAAAGAAGGGACAACTAGATGAGTAGGAAAGGAACTCAATGGCCAGGTGCGGTGACTCATGCCTGTAATCCTAAGCACTCTGGGAGGCCGAGGCAGGATTATCACTTGAGGTCAAGAGTTCGAGACAAGCCTGAGGAAGAGCGAGACCCCCATCTTCACAAAAAATAGAAAAATTTGTCGGGAGAGATGGCATAAGCCTGTAGTCCCAGCTACTCGGGAGGCTGAGGCAGGAGGATCGCTTGAGCCCAGGAGTGTTATGTTGCAGTGAGCTACGATGATGTCACTGCATTCTATCCCAGGCAACAAAGCAAGACCCTGTCTCCAAAAAATAAATAAATAAAGTGTCTCTACCACCAGGACATCATTAAAACACACACATAAAGCCTCTGCAGATCCAGGATGGCACTCTGTACTACAGTAGTTCCACGATTAAAGTTCTAAGTGCCTCCCAGGGAGCAGTCATCATGCACTTTTACTAACAAACTCCATATTGACGGTTTTTTAGAAATTTTAGCAATAACATTTCCAAAAAGCCACAATGGCACCAGAGCTGTGCCATTCAAACATTCAACACTGTTGAATGTTCAAGCATTCAACTGTTCAAGCATTCAAACACTGTTACCAGCATGACCTTGGTATAATCCTAAAGGCAGGGCAGCAAAGCTATACCAGGGCCATTATGACACCTTCCAGTTAGTCAAGTGTTCAGAGAAGAGGGTCCCTTGGTTAACTAAATATTGTGGTTAACCATACTCCCATATATACTGGAGATGGATTTTACATTTCCAAAGAAACAATTAAGTCCCTGTTGGGTGATGTGAGTGAATCAGAACTCTTAAGGGTCTTGTGAGTAATGACTCAATGTCAAGAAGAACAATTGTTTGATACTGCAAAAATAAAAGAGAAAAAGGGAAAAGATTGCTCTGAATCAGTATAGAAAACTTAGAGACTAGCATTAGTTTATTATACAGACCATGGAATAACTGTAACACAAATTTGATTTACGAAACAAAAATCTTTCTTTATAAGCAGATCACTTTTCATAGTGCACAAGTAAAACAGCTTGTCCTAAGGTTACTTCTTTAGCTTTCCATCAACTGTTATCTGCTTTGTTACTATTTATTAAAATCTGAATGGCTGCATGGTAATTAGAATGGAAGCTAGCCCCTAAATCACACACATTTACTAAAAAACAGAAATTGAGGCCAGGGAAGCTAAAGATCAGGTTTATTAACCTTCAGTGGACCATTATCTGATAACACTCGGACTTGGGATCCTCACTGTACAGAAATTAAAATCCGGCTCCACGACTATGAAACTATAAAATTTCGATAATTATTCAACCTCACTTCTTTCCTTTTACCAGGATGATTTAAACTAGGTTAAGATGTGAAATCAAGAGTCAGGGAATAAAGAAGGGTCGTGGTGACACGGGGAGGGCAGGAGGGCCCCTTCTAATTCCAGAAGGCGGTGCAGCTGGTTCCTGAGCGTTGCCTTCAGAACCTGCAGTGATTACAACCATCAGGATTATTTCAGGTCAACAAATAGGAATGAGACTCTTTATGTACAACTTTCACCTACTTACATTTTCCCTAAAGGCCACTGCTAAAACCGGTCAATAGCTGTGCAAGACATTTTAAAGCAAGTGAAATGAGGTGTACATGGCAAAATAACTGGGACCACAAAACCCCATAACACGTGCAATACCTAAGATCCAGAGTAAATATATATGCAAACATAAACATCAACATAGATGACAGACTTATGTGCTTCCTGCAGCTTCAATACCCTTACAAACTGGAGCAACCGAGGCCAAGGGCCAGTGTCCTCTCCGGAGGGATGGGGCTGCAGTCCATCTGTATCACGCGCGCCAGGCAGAAGCGTAACACAGCTGCGCGAAGGGTCAGCCTACAAGACCCACCCCCACACTTGAAGGGCAGCCTGAAGGAAGGCTCCGGGCGGCCCCAGCTGTGAAGATACCCGCTCGGCCCCAAGAGAAAGGCCACCTACCCAGCCACAGCTCCTCGCCCACTCGCCCCCACCCAGGCCCTGGGCAACTCGTCCCGGGGCCGTGAAAACACCCGTCTCCCAGCCGCCTCCCGCAGCTCCCGGCCGCCCCAACAGGTACAGGCCCTGCGCGTCCGCGCCTGCGCAGTGTGCGCCCCTCGCCAACCCGGGCAGGGGAGCGGAGGGGCAAGGCCCGGTAGAGCCCGGTCAGGAGCCAGTGAACGCTGACGGTGGGCCTTTCCTCAGGTAGGAGGTCGCAGAGCTTACCAGCGCCCAGCAGGCTGGACAGGATGAAGAGAGCGTACATGGCGCCGCCTGACTCCGCAGTCTGCAATGCAGACCGTCAGCTGACGCCCCGCTGATATAAACCTGCCCCGCCCCAACGCCCTCCACTGCGCAGGCGCAAACCCCGCCCCCGGCTGGGGCTGCAGCCTGACTCAGCGCCCGCTCAGGGCGCCTGCGCGAAGGGGAGGCATGCTGGGGAGGGGAGGGGCAAAAAAGGGAAAGGGGAGGAGAGATGGAGGGGGGAGGATCTTGCGGAGAAAGGAAAGGTGAAGGTCCCAAAAGGAAAACCCTGCTAATGGAATTAGGCGGTGCTAGGAATTGTGTATGTAAAATACCTTTCCAGCCTCATATTTTCTTCTACGCCATACCATTTGCTATTACTGATACCAATTTGCAGATGAGAATTAGTACTCTGTACGGGTGTTAACGAACCCACTGTTGCTAATTACTGAGGACAATTGCCAAAGAAGAAAGGACTTACTGTAGGAGATGGGAGGTATGCACTGCCTCAAATCCGCCTCCCCAACCAACAGGGTGTGGGGTTTTTCTGGAGGTGACATGAATAATGCATGAGGGGAGTGAGCACGTCTGGGGCAGAGTGCAGGGCACGCGAGTGCTATGAGAAATCATGCTAGTACATACATGCCATGATCAAAGAATGGTGGATACGTCTCTCTCCGTGGGGATTTTAGTAGTATAATGAGTTAGGGGTTAATATAAGTCATTCTTTCAGCCTTATGTGCAAGTGGGATGCAGGGAGTAGGCTGCTCAGGGGGTCCTTGGGCACGATCTGTAGTGGGGTGTCACTTGTCTTCTCTGGACAAACAGCTGGTGTAAGCCTTTGTAGTTATCTCGTGGCTGCAAGGAGGTTCCGCCATTTCTGGCAAAAAAAAAAAAAAAACTCAAAAGGGAATACATTAGTGCAACAGAAAGTTACAAAGTTCTGGTCAGCAACTCTTACTGGCGTGGGAACTTGAAACACAAGAGAATTACAAAGAAAACTATAAAAATGTTTTCTTGTTTATGGAGCTGGTTACAGGGGCAAAAAGGTATGATACTGTCAACGGAAAAAAAGACCAAACTCTGTAAAATAATTTTAAAGAGATTTACTCTGAGCCAAATTTGAGGACCATGACCCGGAGCCATGCCCAAGAGGTCTTGAGCAGTGGACTCGAAGAGGTTGGGTTACTGTTTGGTTTTATACATTTCAGGCCGACAGGGGTTACAGGTAAAGTCATAAATCCATACATTGGTTTTGCCCAAGAAGGTGGGCCATCTCAAAGCGGGGGGCTTACAGGTTATAGGTGGGTTTAAAGATTCTTTGGCCTGTAATTGGTTAAAGACATGAAGCTTTGTCTAAAGGCTTGGAATGTTTCAACATAAGGAGCTCTTTATCAGAGATAAGCCACTGGACATAGATTTGTTGTGTAAATTGAGGACCTGCAGGTTTGTCTTGCATACCCTTAGGCCTGTTAATGGGTTACAAAGGATGTCCCCAAGAAGGGAGGGGGGGCATGATAAGGCATGTCTGACCTCCTTCCTCCTGGCAGGCAATTTAGTTTTAGGATATTCCTTTGGCCATGAGGGGGTCCATTTAGTCAGCCGGTGGGGGGGTGAGCCTTAAAATTTTATTTTAGTTCACAATACCTTTCCTCACCCATCATAAGGGTCACAGCCCACACTCTTATAACAAAAGACAGGTTAACAAGAGAAAAGCATAACACATTAGTTTAATCCAAGTTTTACATGACATGGGAGCCCTCAGAAATGAAGATCCAGAGACCTGGGGAAAACTACTTTTACGCTTAGGTTTGATGAACGGGTGTTTAGAAATGTGATTAGACAAACAGTATGAGCTAATGGTAATAGACTGAGGGGCGAGTCCAGCAAGGCCTATCTGTTCAGATTCTTCTTTGTCTCTCTGTGTAGGATTCCTTCCTCCCTGGTATGGGGCAGGGTCCCTCTGGAATGACGTTCTTCAAGGGCGAAGGGAGGGAGTGACCTTTCTAGGATTTATGGCTTGGGGGAAGAGAATTCTAGTTTCTATGACTCGCTTTGGGGAAGAAAGAGGGGCGAGAGACAGAGGGGCAGGAGAAGGTCAGAGAGACTCTGCTTCTAGGCTCTTCTGAGGCCTTCCAGTCTCCTTTAGTTCAAAGTACTAAGCATTTGCCAGGTGATGTGCTTAGAATAAAAATAAAAACAAAAGTACTGGGCCGGGCATGGTAGCTCATGCCTGTAATCCTAGCACTCTGGGAGGCCAAGGCACAAGGATTGCTTGAAGTCAGGAGTTTGAGACCAGCTTCAGCAAGAGCGAGACCCTGTCTCCACTAAAAATAGAAAGAAATTAGCCAGCCACCTGAAAATAGAAAAAGTTAGCCAGGAGTGGTGGCTCTGGCCTATAGTCCCAGCTACTCAGGAGGCCGAGGCAGAATGATTGCTTGAGCCCAGGAGGTTGAGGCTGCAGTGAGCTAGTTTGACGCCATGGCATTCTAACCCAGGCAACAGAGTAAGACTCTGTGTCAAAAAAAAAAAAAAATACCAAAGTACTGAGCATGCCACAGCACCGTACTTTGGAGTATTGTTTTCTGAGCCTCAACAACTCAAAAAGGTTAATGACTTATCCAAGTTCTCATAATTAGGATTCACACTTCCCACTGGACCCACACTGTCTCCTAAATTGTGTTGGTAGTACTTACCTGGTCTGGTCAGTGTGTAGCTTTATTCTGTGCCCTGCGTTTCCCTCTTAGCATTTCATACAGACGATCACTTTGACCATACTGTGGGTCTCCCCATGACCCACAGCATTAGATACCATCCCTCCCAAGGTCCTACCACGGTTTGTCCCTGGAGTTGGAGGGAGTCAAGGAGACGGACTGAGGAGTAAGATGAGGGAGAATGGGAAGTGCCATAGCCCCTGGTGAAAGGACCAAGAAGCGAAGCCAGAATTTGAGAACCTAGCTAAAAATCAGCCTCAATGGAGAAGGAAGCAGCCCCACCCTGTCTAGCCCTCAATCCTTACCTTATTCCACAATAAGAAAGGGAGGCCTGGGTGGCCCACACAAAACCAGCCACTGTCTACCTGTGGCTGACCTTGCCAGGTTCTGAGCAGAGGAATGACCCCCTCCCAAGGGACAGGTACCTGTCAACCCCTAAGGAAGGAAAGGAGGGGAATTTCAGCCCATTGGAGCAGGCCCTAAGAGGGCATTTAGTCCCATTCCATCATTGTACCTGTGGGGAAACTGAGGCCTGGAGAGGGAAAGAAAGACATTTATCCAAGGTCACAAAACATGTAGGAACAGAACCTGGCCTGAAACCAGGTCTCCTGACCAGGGAGGGGTAAACCCACAGCTCCTCCCACCTCCTACAATCTGGAGTCCCCTCTGGAAAACTGCCACAGACAAAGGTCTCAGACCCTTCGCTTCTCCTCCCTGCCACTATGCCCACACTGCGGCTCTGACTTCCCACTAGGGAGCCAGATGGGGAAGCATGCACCACGGTGGGCCACGTGAAGCCACTGAGTGAGTTGGGACAAGATGTCTAAACCGGATGCCTCACAGGTCGGCCTCAGTGGCCAGATGGAGACTTCATGGCGGCCCCATCTTTGGGCTTCCCAAGTCCCGGCACAAATGTGAAGCAAACCACTCCAAAAGCTGGTTAAGTGCAAGGGTGCTGGGGCTCCAGGGCAAGCCCCTCTCCCTCAGTTCTGTGCGAATGGAGGAGCGAAGCACCTTCATGTTCCATGCACAGGTCACAAGACTCCAAGCCAAAAGGAAGCTTGGAGACCTCAGGTCACACCCTTTCACTTTGGTGGAGTTACCGAGACCTCAGGGCTGGTTAACAACAGAACCTGTGTAATGGCTCCATAAGCAAGAAAACTTTTTTTTACAGGTTTTTTTTTTTTTGTAGTTCTCTTATGTTTCAAGTTCCCAGGCCAGTAAGATTTGCTGACCACAACTTTGTAACTTTCTGTTGCATTGATGCATTCCCTTTTGTGTTTCTTTCCCAGAAACAGTGGAACCTCCTTGCAGCCACGAGATAACTACAAAGCCTCACACCACCTATTTGTCCAAAGGAGACAAGATAAGCGACACCCCACCACAGACTGTACCCAAGGACCCCCCCCTGAGCAGCCCACCTGCCCACAAGCCTGAAAGAATGACCAATATTAACCCCTAGCTCATAATACTACTAAAATCCCCACCGTGAGAGGGACGCATCCGCCATTCTTTGATCATGGCATGTATGCACTAGCATGATTTCTCACTGCGCTTGCGTGCCCTGCACTCCACCCCAAACATGTAATGATGCTCACTCCCCTCATGTATTATTCATGTCACCTCCAGAAAAACCCCTGACCCTGTTGGTAGGGGAGGCGGATTTGAAGCAGTCCATGCCTCCCACCTCCCAGATGACGGGTCTCCTGCAATAAGTCCTTTCTTCTTTGACAATCCTCCTTGTCTCAGTAGTTGGTTTTCTGTCCAGGCAGCAACAGTGAACCCCCCTCGCCGGTTCATTAACGCCTGAACCAAGAGACTCTTTTTTAACACTCCTCCTACTTACCTAGAGGAACATGTCAGTGTTTTTGAGATGAACTTTTGCTGCCTTTCATTTCCACACCTGTAACTCAAGAGCAATATGCTACTTCATCTGGCTCCTTCTGAACCCTGTGAGGACAGAATTTTAATAAAGAATACAAAAACAATAAGTGGATTATTACAATTTTTTTACCAAGTTGGTAGATGCTTAAATCCTCTTAAAAACCCTTCTTAACTGTGCATAGGCAACGAGACCCTTTGGCCCTATTCTACCATTCCCTAGCTATGTACCCCCAGGGAGATAATCCGGGAGCCAAGGACAATGTTATTCAAAGTGTTCAGTTGGTCCGAGTGCAGTGGTGTTTACAACTAACTGATCACAACCAGTTACAGATTCCTTTGTTCCTTCTCCACTCCCACTGCTCCACTTGACCAGCCTTAAAAAACAAAAAAAAAACCAAAGTGATGACTAAGGAAACCAGCCGAACAAAACAATGGTACTGAAGCAAAGGAATGGCACCCCCTCCCAAGGGACAGGTACCTGTCAAGCCCAACCTTGGAGCCTGAGGCGGAAGCAGCGAGGACTGGTCCCTGACAAGCCCATCAGGGAAGTGGGTTCTGGGAAATAT